ATATATATATATATATATATATATATATATATATATATATATATATATATATATATATATATATATATGAAGTACGTTATTAACATTATTTATTTGAGGAGCAGACTGCTTTGAGTTTAACTCCATCACAGACTCTCTTCTTGAGCAAGCACAAAGGCGACAGGGGAAAGGAAAAACTCCCTCATGAGGAAGAAACCTTTATCAGAACCAACCTCAGGACAAGCGGCCATCTGCTTCGACCGGCTGGGTTTGAGAGGAACAGGAAGGAGGAACAGATACACAATGGCAGGTCAAGAATCACGTTAATATAGAAATAGTATCAAATGAAAACTATTCAATTTTAACATATCCTGATGCATGCTCAATAATCCAGGTAGAAAAATCCAAAAAAGTTCAATCTGGTCCTCTGGACATTCAAACAAACAAAAAAACAAAACAAAGCAAAAAAATATAGAAACGTTTCGTCTCTCATCCGAGAGACTTCCTCAGTCTGAGGTGCTGTTTTCAGCTCAGTCTCTTAAATAGCACCTTCTCAGAGTGGATGAACCAGTTTTGCTGCTGACAACCAAAACCAGCTGATCACATGCTCAAGAAGGACCATCAGCCTAACAATGGATCATTAGCACACTGATGGCTGTTTACTATTCACAAGGGGCTGAGTGATACTAGCAATCACAGCATTGTAAGAGGGGGACAGTTGAACACGTAGGCCTCCACCCCTGTTTAATGATGGACAATTTCTTTTCACAAAGAGGTATTCAATTTTAACAATTCATTTAAGGAAATGAGGTCGGTTTGTCCTCTAGTAGTCTAAGATATGACAGCATAACAAGCCAAACCTAACTATAGAATTTATCAAAAAGGAAAGTCTTAATCCCAGTCTTAAAACTTGACAATGTGTCAGCCTCACGGACAGAAACTGGAAGTTGATTCCACAAGAGAGGAGCTTGATAACTGAAAGATCTTTCTCCCATTCTGCTTTTGGAAACTTTAGGAATTGCAAGTAAACCTGCAGTCTGAGAGTGAATTGCTCTGTAAGGAAAATATGGAACAGTAAGATGTTGAATATATCTCCTACATAAAACATTATAGACACAGAAAAAATCATATCTGTGAACAACAAAGTCTTCTGCTGCTCATGGGTTCAGAACTTTTAAGATTTGACTTGCAGTTTCCACACAGCACCTGTTTGTTTGAGGCTTACTTTTCAGTTTGTTTCTGCCTCTCATTATTTTGGCAAAAAGTGACAGACACAGGTGTGTGGTTACCATGGCAGCTGCTTTAACATTTCTTTTATCTTGGTTCTCTTTACACTTTTTAAACATATTTTGAATGTGA